TCTCTGTAACTCTAGTCCAGCTATTAATATCCTTGATAGTTCTTTAGATAAGGCATGTATTTCCTGCCTCAGAGGTCATGTCTTAGTTATACTTTTATGAAGCTTTTTCCCCCCAGAAAACCATATGGTGTCTTTTTAAAATCCCTTTCTCAGTGAACTCCTTTTTGAATGTAGATCCAGAATTTCTTTTTATTTTATTTTATTTATTTTATTAATTACACTTTATTCACTTTGTATCCTCCCATAAGCCCCTCCATCTTCCCCTCCTTGTCCCACCCTTCATATCCCTTCTTCAAGCATGCCTTTACCCAAGTCCACTGGTAGGGGAGGTCCTCCTCTCCTTCCTTCTGATCTTAGTCTATCAGGTCACATCAGGAGTGGATGCATTGTCATCTTCTGTGGTCTGGTAAGACTGCTCCCCCCTCATGGGGAGGTGATCAAAGAGCAGGCCAATCAGATTATGTCAGAGGCAGTCCCTCTTCCCATTACTATGGAACCCACTTGGACACTAAAGTGCTATGGACTACATCGGCAAGGGGGTTCTAGGTTATCTCCATGCGTGGTACTTGGTTGGAGTATGAATCTCTGGGAAGACCCCTGTGTTCAAATTTTTTGTTTCTGTTGCTCTCTTTGTGGAGTTCCTGTCCTCTCCATATCTTACTATTTCTCACTTCTTACATAAGATTCCATGCACTCTGCCCAACAGTTGGCCATTAAGTCTCAGCGTCTGCTTTGATAGTCTACAGGGCAGAGCCTTTCAGAGGCCCTCTCTGGCAGGTTCCTAGCTTGTTTCCTGTTTTCTTCTTCTTCTGGTGTCCATCCTCTTTGCCTTTTGGGATGGGGATTGAGCTTTTTAGTGAGGGTCCTCTCTCTTGATTAGTTTCTTTAGATGTACAGATTTTAGTAGGTTTATCCTATGTTATATATCTATATGAGTGAGTATATACGTGTGTGTCTTTCTGCTTCTGGGACAGCTCAGTATGGATGATCCTTTCCAGATCCCACCATTTACCTGCAAATTTCATGATTTCCTTATTTTTTCATTGCTGAGTAACACTCCATTGTGTAGATGCACCACAATTTTTGCGTCCATTCTTCAGTTAAGGGGCATCTGGTCTGTTTCCAGTTCTGGCTATTACAAATAAAGCTGCTACAAACATGGTTGAGCAAATGTCGTTATTGTGTACTTGAGCCTCTTTTGGATATATGCCTAGGAGTGGTATTGCTGGGTCTTGAGGAAGCACGATTCTTAGTTGTCTGAGAAAGTGCCAGATTGATTTCCAGAGTGGTTGTACAAGTTTACATTCCCACCAGCAGTGGAGGAGGGTTCCTCTTTCTCCACAACCTCTTTAACATGTGTTGTCACTTGAGTTTTTCATGTTGGCCAGTCTGATGAATGTAAGGTGAAATCTCAGGGTCATTTTGATTTGCATTTCTCCAATTGGCTAATGAAGTCAAGCATTTTTTAAGTGTTTCTCTGCCATTCGATATTCCTCTACAGAGAGTTCTCTGTTTAGCTCTGTTCCCCATTTTTTAATTGGATTACTTAGTTTGCTGCTTTAAAGCTTCTTTAGTTCTTTATATATACTGGATATTAGCCTTCTGTCAGATAAAGGGTTGGTGAAGATTCTTTCCCAATCTGTAGGCAGTCGTTTTTTTTTTAATGACGGTATCCTTTGCTTTACAGAAGCTTTTCAGTTTCATGAGGTCCCATTTATTCATTGTTGCTCTTAGAGTGTGTGCTGTTGGTGTTCTGTTCAGGAAGTTTTCTCATGTACCAATAAGTTCTAGGCTGTTCCCCACTTTTTCTTCTAACCGATTTAATGTGTCTGGTTTTATGTTAAGGTCTTTGATCCACTTGGACTTTAGTTGTGTGCAGGGTGTTAAGTATGGATCTATTTGCATTTTTCTACATGTAGACATCCAGTTAGACCAGCACTATTTGTTGAAGATGCTATCTTTTTTCCATTGTATGGTTTTGGCATCTTTGTCAAAGATCAGGTGTCCATAAGTGTGTGGCTTTATTTCTGGGTCCTCTGTTTGGTTCCATTGATCCACCATTCTGTTTCTATGCCAGTACCATGCAGTTTTTATTACTGTTGCTCTATAGTACAGCTTGAGATCAGGGATGGAGATAACTCCTGTAGATCTTTTACTGTAGAGAATCTTGTTTTAGCAATTCTGGGTTTCTTGTTATTCCATATGAAGTTGAGAATTTTTCTTTCCAGATCTGTAAAAAATTGTGTTGGTAATTTGATGGGAATTGCATTGAATCTGTAGATTGCTTTTGGTAAGATGGCCATTTTACTATGTTAATCTTGCCAAGCCATGAGCATGGGAGATCTTTCCATCTTCTGATATCTTTTTCTAATTCTTTCTTCAGAGACTTGAAATTTTTCTTATATATGCTTTTATTTCATTCTTTACATTAATAATATCGTAAGAATTTTCATTGGATATATATAATAAATTCAAAAAGCTTTTCATTATTATTCAATAAAAATATGGAAGAATATTATGTTGCCTTACACTAATCCCAAATTTTCATATCAAATATAAAAAATAAAATTACTGATAGTAAATTCTCATAAGCAAACCAAAAACTTAAGGAAGCAAATTAATTAAAAAACAGAATCTTTTTTTCTGAAACAACAACAAAAAAAAAACTTCCTTCAGCCAATATAATGAGAATGTTCCCTATATTTTAATGCTCATTTTAAAAGAAATATGATAGTGATTAATGATTTTTTTCTGTTATCAGTATATTTTTTTTTCTTACAAAAACACGGCTACACTGGAGTTTTAGTTTGACTATGCTGGACGGAGAGTGCACAAGTCACAACTAAAGGCAAACAATGACTTTGCTGTGATTTTATTCCTTACATTATTACTAGAGAAAATCAAATAACCTATCCTTCTGGGTGTTTCCAATTTATCAGTGCCCTATATGGTATTATTATTTATAGCTTGCATGCTTTGAATTACATTTCCAAACTGACAATTTCTGTGTAATCAGAATTTTTCTTCATCGTGGACAGTAGCACTGTATCCTAGCTAGGGTTACTATTGCCATGATGAAAAATAAGATGCTCCCCCATGCTTTAGTACAGCCAGGAGCCAAATAGCTTACTTATTTGTATGACTCTTCTCTATCATTTAACCCGTCTGGAATGTAAGAGCTATGAAAGCAGCGATGTGATTTTTCCTGTTTATTATTTGCTTCTGCCCTAAAATATTCTTTGGTGCTCAATAGATGCTTGCTGAATGAATGAGTACTTTTAACTCAGCATCTGTTGTTTTAGTATGTAAACTCGGTATATAAGTACTATTGATACTACATTAATTAATAATAAAATACTGGATGTATTGCAGTGAAAACAGGATGAACCTCTAGGTCATAACTCTGCAACTCTGGATCAGCACAGAAATAAAATCAACCAGAACCATAGGATTCTGTTAGGAAGAATAGTAAAAGTGTTAAAACACTGCTAAAGGAAGCCAGATCCAACAGATATCCAACCAATATCAGTCAAGGTGGCTTCATAATCCCTGGAAAGACGCTGATGGGAAAGTCTGAAGAAAAAGTCCTTTGACTGAGTGAAGCATAATGAAAGTCATATAAACACAGGTAAGAGCTTGCCTCAGATGGGAACATATTTCAGAATAGACCATATTCTAATGATTCAATAACAAACGTTGATATGCAAATCGTGAAAAACAGCATATACATATTTTATGATTTAAAATAATGTTTCAGAATCAAAAGTATCAAAATGTAGCAATGAAAACTTTGTCTAGATTGTTGGAAGGCAGGAATATCCATGTTACACATATTATCAAGCCTTCAGTTTCCCAAGGAAAGAAGTGATGGAAAAAGCAGACTGCAGCGTATGACATTATGGACACAGCATGGCCTAAATGGTTCTCTCTGAGCTGGGTATCCAACCCAAATCTTGATGGCAGAAAAACAAATCAAATTTTTTGTAGGAGTTAAAAACCGATATATTAAGTCAGGAATATTAAAAATATATTCTGAAAAGAAAAATAATACCAAAATGTATAATCCTTTCATTGCTCTAAAAGCATAAAGACAACAGTAAATTAACTTTAAATCTAAAGTATTTTATGATTCTCAGTTTTTATAATTAATCTCATCATTACATACATTTAACAAATGTTACACTGAGAAAAAAACGATAATTAGTTAATGCTATCCTCTGCAATATGAAGATGTTTTTAGTAATTTGACAAAATAAAGAGTTTATAATAATTTTGTATATAAAGGTATTTAAAAACACCATCAGTATTTTGCAGATAATCACAAAATGACTCATAAGTGGGTGAAAATTGAGTAATTTGACTAATTTCTTAGTTGACCTTTACAAAAGTATTCATGTAACATTTCTTAGTTGTATTTTTATTATATAAACCCAAATCCCAGCTATTTAGTTCCCATGTTGCTTCCTGAAAATGGAACGATGTGTTACCGAGATAAAGTAGCTTGTGTGTGAAGGGCCTTTCCCTTTAGTAACAATTAGGAACATTGTCTTTGGATGCCTGTGTCCATCCTAAGGGTCTTCTCAGATCACTCCCCCACTCCATGAGAGACCTCAAAACTGTAGACATAGATTGTGCAATCCTAGCAAAAAAAAAAAAAAAATGCTCACAAGAATAACTTCATTATTCTGGGAAGCCAGATCTCTAAAACATGTAAAATGTAGAAGCATTCTGCCCATACAATTTCCAGTAAGCACCGCATGACTAAGAGACACCACCCGAGTCTGCTTCAATTTGAGCATCCTTTATACCACCTTGCTTGTGTACAAGAAAGTTGATAGTGCCATGAGCAGAGGGTTCTGCTCTGGAGGGAGGATGTGGGTCAGGCTGACAGAGCTTTGCCTTAACTAATGAAAAATTGTTTCCAGGAATATTCATTGACAATAGTGTCTCACGCGCTCACGATTCACACAGGTGATATCAAATGATAGGGATGGACTCACCAATACCACTGGACAGATTGTGGTGGGTGGTAAAATATGGTCCTTCAAAGGTCCACAGTCACATTCCGGCTTCAGATGGGAAGCACATTTATTGTGAAGCTAGGGAAGGAGAAAAGGATAATATCAAACCTACATGACAACAGCATCCAGAGAAGAGATACAAAAATACATTAAAAGTGTATTCAAAGATATAAGAAAAAAGGGGCTCAATAATTTACTACAAATTTTACACCAAATAACACTACTTTACTTGACACAATTTATTTCCCATTATGGTGTTTCTTTGCTTATCTTTCAGCATAGTCTTGAAGCCACTGTGCAGTGCTGATGAGTTTTTTTTTTTTTTTTTTTTTTTTCTTTTTTTACCCTCCTGTTTTCTCAAAGTCATTCCAAAGTGCACAGCTCAGTATGGGGCATAATTGATCCCATCATTAGTTTTAACTTTGTAATTCAATATGTAAATGTAACCTGAGATTCATCTCAGTAGGAGCAGGATATAAATAAAAGAAGATGATTATGATTATAAAAGTGTATCTTTATATTGTATTTATCAGCCCGACATTAACTTAGCATGTAATCATATAATGTGATATTTATTTTACAATATGTATGAACCGTAGCTGACCTTTTTATCAGTGCTGATCACAAGTTTAAATTAAAGTGTATGTGTAACAAAATGTAAAATAGTGATGCTTTTAAGTCAAAGAGATGGTCTTTACCAGCCAAAAGATTCGGAAAATTCTCCCTTCGTTATTTGATATCAATTTAGTACAAAATATTCATGCTTCATGAAAATTATATATATTAATACTATAATGTGTGTTCTTAATTAAAAAATAATACCAGAGCACTTTTCAGTTTGGCTACACATTTTAAAAGGCCACTCCATTTAAGCCTCAGCTATACCAACTCCCATCTACAAGCAGTTAATTAGTCACTGAGTTTAGACACAGTGTTGATTTAATGTTAGTGATGGAACTGCATTGAAGGAGGATTTCAGGTGTCCTCTACTCTAAAACATTTGTCAAACTGAGGTCCTACTTTAGATTCAAGTACTAGTACTATAATGGGTGCTCATTAGGCCGTATTATAGGAAATAAAAGTATCTTTACACATCCATCTACAGTTAGCATCTCTCACAGAAGCAGATAAACTTCTCTATACAAAGGTGGGTTAAGCTTTTGAGGCACTTCTGATCTTTGCCAAGAGATAAGATGCATTAAAGACAAAGAAGCAGCTGAATCCTTCAGTAAAGTAGGACTAAGTGAGCCTTCATTCTGCCTGGGCAATAAAAATGCAACTTCCTTAAAATAGCTCTAAACTGTATTATATTATTACTTTATTGAAACACTTCTCATAAAATAAATAAGGTCCTTATGCACAGGTAACAGGCTTCCAAGGGTGAAGTGAATGTGGCCTTCTCTAAATACTATATAAAAGCCAAAATCTTAACTCCTGATCTTAACTCCAAAAATTGAACCATTTTTGGAAATGGAGTCTATGTTAATATACTCAAGCTAGAATATAGTCATGTTTGTTATGTCTGGGAAATACACTGGAAGCTTTGTAAGGAGAAGGCAATCTGGACAAGGAGATACTGATACAGAGGGAAGCCCACATCAGAAGAGCCAGGGTGGGATGTGAATGTTGTCTTTACAAAGCAAGCAACATCAAGAATTTCTAGAAACTACCAGAATCTGGTAAGAGGCAAAGGATTCGTCCTCAAATTCTTCAGAGGCCTTGTGTTCTTGCTGACATTGATATGTTAGGCTTTTCTCCCGAGTTGTGAGAAAATAAATTTATGTTGTCTTAAATCGCCTCACTTATGGCATTTTGTTATACGGGCTCTAGGACGTGAACACATTGACACCACGAAAACCCAAGGCAGATCATGCATCTAAAGACTCCTCTAGATATTGCCTTGTTGCAGAGATGGAACTTTTTCTCTTTGATATTGTGCAAGTCCCTTAAAACTGGGGCTCAGAACATTATGATAAGACAATCCTTATGTGTGCATAGTGAGACTGCCTTGAAGCCTTACTCTGAAATGTTCTAAAATGACACAAATGCAGGTAATGAAGAGGCACACAGCCTTGGGCTAGCACAGCTCACAGGAAGCATCTATGTCTCAACTTCCTTAGCCCCTGCATGTCATGTAAACAATAAATAAAATTAATGACAGCTTTTTACCTTTAGGCCCAAATGGAAAGAACTAAGGAATAGAAATATTCAGTGGACCAGAAGACTAGATTGAGTGAAGGTATAACTCAACGGATCTCACGAGATACTGTTTTTATGAACTTAACTAATCCTAGTAGTATATTTTCAAGTTTGACTAGCACGATGACTTATATCTCTGAGTTTTTCTGTGCAACATGGGACAGTCTCAAAGGAGTATTAGCATGTAGCAGGGTCAGTAACTCTCTTGCCCATCAGTAAAACAGGTACACATACTGACAGGAACTTGTCTTAAGATCTCTGTGTTAACTTTATATGTGCTAGAATACCATATTTTCTATGAAAATTTATCAAATACCTGGGAAGTATATTCTAGTGGCTGTCCATTACACAACATTGCTTATAGAGGAAAAGGGCAGAGCAGTGGGCAACTTGGTAAGGGCACTGACCATTTTTACAAGCAGATGTCAGCAATGCATCCCATTGCCCAGAAATGTACTGACAACAAAACAGAAACTAAAACAAAGACAGAAATAAGAAATGAAGAAAGAGCTGGAAACCAAGACTATCAAACATAAATGATCAAGTTGTGTTTGTTGTAAACCTAAATGCTTTAAACAAAAAGACTGTTAAAAATGATGGTATCAACAAAACAGAAACTGTATAATAGAATTAGGATGAACAAAGTGGTTTATTTAGGTTACTAATAACAGTGTTTACTGGAAAAGAGTGTATGTGTCTTTTCAACAATAGATCACAAATGGCAAGCTGTCAACATCTATCAGCACAAGAACAAGTTTCTGACGTTGGCACTGTATCTTAAATACACTTTTTACATTCCATGTACTAGGAACAACTCAAAAATTTAAATTTAGACATTATTTGGAGATGGAGCTTTAGGGAGCTACTTTGAGCTAGATGGGGATGAGAGGAGTACCTGGGAGAATTAGCAATCTTACGATGAACAGAAGAGAGCTGGAGAGCAAATATTTATTTTGTCTTGACATATAATGTCATCGGCCAAGTTATTACTTGTAAAGAACCATTAACATGAAAAGACCCCTGATGTGAAAGGCATTTAACCTCCAGAGTGTAAGACACAAGTTCCTGGTCATTAACAACTACCTTATTTGTGGCATTGTATAATAGCCATATAATCAGGTTAGACAGCTTGTTGCCACATTATTCCGTGTGACGGGGTGTGTAAGAAGGATGCAGTGTCATCAAGATGCCCAGAATTATCGACTGCACTCAAGGACAAAGTGAGCAGCAACAGGCAGAAGTCTTCCTTGAGGTGGTACACGAACTAGACCACCGATGTACCCTGGCTCTAAAGCAGAATTTCTAAGAGGATAGTTCCCACCTTTCCAAAGCCCATTTGAAAATGTTGCCACAGCCATCTTTGTGGATTTGCTAAATGATGATACACAAGAAAATAAAGCTTATTTTTAATATGCCCAAAAACTTTCAGGGTAACATATCTAGGAAAGTCATATAATATGAACCAGCTTTTCTTGGACTTGAATTAAACACTTGGAAATCATTTCAGAATTTGACAGCTCACAGTAGCACCTAATTTAGAGCCAGCGCTATGTTTATTAGAAAAATCTGTCTCAAGTTTGGAAGAAAAAGAATGTGAGTGATTATGTGTGTGTGTGTGCACATGCGTGTTAGAGAGTAATGTTGAGCTAACGAGAGAAATGAACAGTGAAAAAAGAAAAAAAGAGGAAAAATATTAATTAGAATCTAGAGATTCATAAAGAAGAGAAATTAGTCCTTCTTATCAATAAAAGCTCAATGACACGGATTGAAGAAATATATTTGTTAGTTGACAATTTCCTATGAAATCAGTATTTTACCATGTCAGAGTATTTCTTTAATGATGATATTTGCTAAAGAATAAACTGTCTTGGCTTGAAAAAAAAAAACAAAAACCCTTAAACATTATTGACAAGGGCTAAATTGTTTCATTGAAATTATATCCTTATATGATATCAAGTTGGTTATTCATATGTATAAGAAAAGGATTCTTTCATTAATTTCAAATGGTTGCCTTAACCTCCCATCCTAGTGATTCTTGCATGCCGAGAGCTCGTTTTTCTTGACTCGGAGCAACTCTGCACAGAGTAAACACTGTGGAGGATGTACTCAGCGGATGTGAACCGTGCTTGTCAGCGGGGTATCAATAGTGGCAGGAAATAAGCAAGAAAGAGAAACAAATCCAGGGTGAGTATTTGTCTGGCTCAAAGCACAGAAAATAGTTGCTTAAGAGGCAGATACACACTTCCTTTTTCTGGGCTTTTACCAATTTCCTTGTTAAGTAGGAAGCTTGCAAAAGAGATACAACTTTCTTCTTCGAACTTAGCTCTCTGCCTACAAGACCGTCGGTTTCTGAACTGCAGTAAGATACACTGATGTTCTGCACTGGCTTAAAGTGCAGAAATGGACGTTTATCATCAACAGTTTAAGATTTATTAACTTGTCTGATGCAATTTGAGCATTACAAATTATTTTGGAATAAAATTTAAAGAGGAAGAGGACTTGAAAGTCACTATTTAACTTTAAAAAAATTAGTTGTACTAGTCATTATAATAAATCTTGTGCTTAAACAACTCCTCATGGAATCTACTCAGATGGCCCTTTGGAAAGCTCTTTACAGACAGCACCACATCCCTGCATGCTGCCGATTCCCAGAGTATAAAGACGACATTTAGTTCTTTAGAGATCTGAAACATTAGGTTTTAAGGACACCTGAGGATGTCCTCAAAACCAAACACTCTTTCAAGAACTTCAGATGATTAGGGAAAACATGAGTGCCATCAGCCTGTACTTGTGGAGACAAACTGAAGCATAGCATTGATGACATGCAGAAGTGAAGCTACTGTAGAACAACTCAAACTTTTCTTTAGCAATAAAGTAAAATAAAAAAAAATCAAGAGAAATACAGCACTGATCTTTGATCTTTGTTCCTAGTAAGCATTTTAGACTCATGCAGTCCAAGTAATGGGAAGTTTTAAGTAAGAGGTGGGAATTAATCATGGCCTCCTCAGGGGTTTCTCAGCAGATACCCAGAACTAACAGGTTGCAGGAATGTAGTATGCTTTCAACTTAAGTCTGAATTTTGTGGAACTCAATTTTAAAATGAGGTAAGCAGTGAGAAGGCTGCATTTGTTACCACGCAATTATTATAGATTGCCAAAGTGGGAGTATTTAACAAATTAGTATTTTCAAAGATTTATTTATTTATTATGTATACAATGTTCTGCCTGCATGTACACCTGCATGCCAGAAGAGGGCACCAGATCCCATTATAGACGAGATAGGATAAACATACTAAAATCTGCACACCTAAATAAGATAAACAAGAAAGAGGACCTTGGGTAAGATGATCACTACTCACTTAGAAAGACAAATGGGATGGACATTGGAAGTAGGAGAAAACAAGTAACTGGACAGGAGCCTACAGCAGAGGGCCTCTGAAAGACTCTACCTAGCAGTGTATCAAAGCAGATACTGAGACTCATAACTAAACCTTCAGCTGAATGCAGGGAATCAGATGAAAGAAGAGGGAGTTAATATGACTGGGAGAGGACAGGAGCTCCACAAGAACCAAATATATCTGGGCACAGGGGTCTTTTCTGAGACTGTTTCTCCAACCAAGGACCATGTATGGATATAATCTAGAACCCCTGCTCGAATGTAGCCCATGGTAGATCAGTATCCAAGTGGGTACCCTAGTAAGGGGAACAAGGACTGTTTCTGACATGAACTCAATGGCTGGCTCTTTGACCTCCACCTTCCCCAACAAGGGAGGAGCAGCCTTGCTAGGCTACAAAGGAGGACATTGCAGCCAGTCCTGAAGATACCTGATAGGATAGGATCAGGTGGAAGGGGAGGAGACCTACCCTATCAGTGGACTTAGAAAGGGGCAGGGAGGAGATGAGGAAGGGAGGGTGGGATAGGGAGGCAATGAGGGAGGAGGCTACTACTGGGATACAAAATAAATAACCTGTGATTAATATAAAAAATAAAAAGTATAAAAAAATTCTTGTGGTAGTATGGCAGCCTACATTATAGGAGAAGTACCTTCTGTCAGGGAAATAAGCTGAGAGATTCTAACTCTAATCTAGTCAGGAGGTGCTAAGAGCTCATATTAAGGTTGGGAATATGAGTCAAAATCTTAGATTTGGGAGAGATATTTTAAGGAAGAAATGTGAAGGCTTAGCACTAGGTTGGATGAAGAAGATGAATGTGGAAGACAAGGAAAGGCAGACTTCTAACTGTCACAGTAACTGGAAACATCTCACCCAGGTCAGCTCCTGTAAGCGACAGCGTAAGAGTTGAGTAGTTGCTCTTGAGAATGCATGTCTACAATCTTGATATAAAAGTTAGTGGTGCTTGCAGTTACATAATTCTCCATGGTCTTTGAAGTCTGACTAGACTGGGACATTTCCAGTTACAAATCCTCCCCAAAATTGAGACCGAAATATCATGAGTACCACTGAAGGAGTGCCCCGTGGACATCAGGTTTCACGTGAGGCAGACCTGTCAAATTCCACCTGTTGTCCCCTGAGTGAACATTTATTAAGTATTTGCTAAGCATATGCTCCGTTCATTAACACATCTACACTGACATTTTACCCCTTTAATCCTTATGATATCCTGCAAAAGAGGCATTATCAACTCCATTTTACAGTGGAGAATATTGTCAGAAACCCAAGCAACGCGTGGATGCAATGGCGTGTAAGTGACACAGACCACTTTATCAGTCTGTTTTTCTCAAGTTATGGTTTTAAGTGATGCCAAGTAAGTAATAGCTTTTTGGAGAAACTCTGAAATGTAGCCATGCTTTAGTCTCAGATTTTCTGCTTAAGCAGTTCCTCATGGAATCCACTTACTCACGAGGCCCCTTAGAAAGCTTAGACAGAACCACAACCCTGCGCTCTCCTGATTCCCAGAGGGTGAAAATGACAGTACTCACATTAAGTAACCTAGAGATCAACCTTAAGCTAACATTTTCATGAATAGCTTAGGAAAAGCAATGAATACTAATAAATTTATATTTTCAGGTGCATACATTCCATCAGCTACAAAATTAACAAATTAATAAAGGCGTCCTTACTGTTGCTGTAAATTAAAATTCTGAAAGTACTCAGGGACAGACTCATGGAGACAAAGTGGGAGGAGGAGAGGAACTGAACAGTGAAACTTCCAACCGCCAAAAAAGCTCTGGTGTGTAGAGCTAGCTGGCTAATTCCTAACTTTCAAGCTGAATAGCCAGTCATAAATACTGATTATTTTTTAAGTAATAGAAAAAAATGAAATAAAATATAATATATTCAAGATATTGCTCTTAAATTTTAAATAAGTGCAAAAAATGAATTCTGATACTTTCTAATTTCAGCCTATGCTAAAATTAAGATAGGCCAAGTAGAATGAAGTGTGGGATGAGACAAGGCTTCTGCAAGATATAGAAGAAGAGTTACATCATTTTTTAAACTGTTTAGTTACCCAAATATACTTTCAATATACATGATTGATTTTTCTGGTGGTTTTTTTTTATTAATTACACTTTATTCACTTTGTATCCCCCCATAAGCCCCTCCCTCTTCCCCTCCCGATCCCACCCTCCCTCCCCTTTCTTCACACATGCCCCTCCCCAAGCCCACTGATAGGGGAAGTCCTTCTCCCCTTCCTTCTAATCTTAGTCTATCAGGTCACATCAGGAGTGGATGCATTGTCATCTTCTGTGGCCTGATGAGGCTGCTCACCCCTCAGAGGGAGGTAATCAAAGAGCAGACCAATCAGTTTATGTCTGAGGCAGTCCCAGTTCCCATTACTATGTAACCCACTTGGACACTAAAGTGCCATGGACTACATCTGTGCAGGGGTTCTAGGTTATCTCCATGCATGGTACTTGGTTGGAGTATGAGTCTCTGGGAAGACCTTTCCAGTTCTGTTGCTCTCCTAGTGGAGTTCCTTTCCTCTCCAGACCTTAGAAGCAGAAAGACACACACGGTATATACTCACTCACTCATATAGACATGTAATATAGGATAAACCTACTAAAATCTGTACATCTAAAGAAACTAATCAAGAGAGAGGACCCTGATTAAAATGTGCAATCCCCATCCTGAAAGGGAAAGAGGATGGACATCAGAAGAAGAAGAAATCAGGAAACAAGCTAGGAACCTGCCACAGAGGGCTTCTGAAAGGCTCTGCCCTGCAGACTATCAAAGCAGATGCTGAGACTTATGGCCAACTGTTGGGCAGTGTGCATGGAATCTTATATGATTGATTTTTAAAATGAAATTGTTGTGACCTTTATAAATTGAGAATTGATATGTTCTTGTACTTCATGTGAATAATTTGAACCATTGCTAGGCATTTTAATATAATAAACAAGCACCTCAAAACTAAAACTCTCATTTATAATTGAGAAAACTTCAAAACTGTAAATGTAACTTAACTGAATAGTTTAAATGTGTGAATACAGTATGTTCGTGTTCATTCTTAAATGTAAATCAACTTGCTTTTCTTGTTTTGCTCAATATTCTGTGTGTGTGTGTGTGTGTGTGTGTGTGTGTGTGTGTGTGTGCGCGCGCTTTGGTGTCTGCTTAAAGAGCACTGTTTAACCTGTAGGATTAGTCAGAACCTTGTAGCTTTACCAAAAAACCCTGATTTGTCTAGCTAACACAGTGCCCTCTGCTGTTTATTCCTAAGAACCAACTCTAAGACGTGAAGGACTAACGTGCTATTTTGTGGGAAAGAAACAAGGAAGAACAAGGACAACAAAACAGCTCTGCAGACTAATGAAGACCCCAAAAGAAGAAACGTTTGTTTACATTACGTCCAAGAATTTAACAGCTATAGTAGTACCATGAATAACTGCGGTTATGCCAAAGTCATCTGAAGCTGACAGTCACCCTGGTGGTGTCATAAAGCTTCTCCTGAAAGGCCCATAAGCTCCTTCCTTAATTATTTCAACATCAAAACCTCTGTGTCCCAATTTATAATACACCTGAAGGAAATCAACATGCACGGGAGAACTGTTGAATATGTCCCTAGAAGCCATGATGCTCAATAAAAACACACCTCTTCTGCTTGCCAGCTTCCACTTGTGGTTTCTGATTGCTTTCCTGGGAAGCTCTAGAGCTCTGTGGGATCTTGTTTGAAGACCATGTGAAGGTGTCATCTCTGAGATGGTGAGATGTATGAGAGAAAGTCTGATCCTCAGGCATATAAAATAAGAAACCCCTAAGCTTCCAGGACAGTGCTGCAATGCGGTACTCACTGTGATCTGACACCAAACACAGTGCAGCCCCGTCAGGCCCTGGTAACATTTTACTGTCTTGTGGCACTTATCACACTTGGTTGGGCAGTTGCCTTCGACCCAATAATGGTGCATGACCTAGAATAGAAGAAGAAGAATAGGATGCTAAGAGGAGGTGTCTCTAATGACCCATCTAGAAAGCTTATATTGTCAAACTTACATCTGTGTTCTTTTTGGACTTCACATAGGTCTTGATGCAGGAGGGAGGGGCTCTCCCCACACAGCGCTCATGGACTGTGTACTTACAGACTGAAAGAAAACAGGTACACACATTCAGAGCGGACTCTGGTCCTGACTGCAATTTTACAAGGCAAGAATGACATTAACAGAACCTCATTTCACATCCACTGTTCCCTAATCAATCCAATCAGCCACATCAAGGAAAAAAGTCCAAGTCTGCTGTTTTTATCATGGAATACAAAAGGCCAATTAGTACAGGAAATAGTATGCATATGAGAAACCAAGTCTCCTCTATCATGGCATAGCAGGAAATGCTTAATTAAATCAGTCCTTGCTCAAATTTTTCACAATAATTCCCAGATGACAAAAATATTAAAGACAAATTGATGGCTGCCAAATGGCTTTGTGTCATGTGCTAGAAGGAAGAAGTCTATATATCACGAAGTATAGGCATGAGAGCAGCTGGCAGGCACAGGAGAAAATGCCTATATGCTTACACTGCTCTGTCTATTGACTTATCTAAACTTTAAATGGCAGATTTGTCTATTTCCAGAGAATAGGTTTCATCATCCATGCCAGGGCATCTGGGAAGTTTATCCTCCACTTTCCATCATTATACTGTTTCTCCAAAACAGCCTCCTTTGCTCAGCAACCTATGGTACCAGGAAGCAAAATCTGGTATTTATATAAAAACATATATTTATACTTAAATGCCAGCAAATGTATATATGTCTGTCTGTGTGTCTGTCTGTCTGTATGGATGTATATAGTACGTACCATAAAAGAAAAACATACCTATTTTTGCGGATGCATCTCCATGGTTACTCTAATTATTAGTAGAGTCACATGCAGGCATTGTGTAAGGAGAAAACTGTCTCCACACTAGCAACTCCGTATTCATTAATATAGAGAAAACAATTTAAAAAGTGAATAGTTTGACATCTTAAAAATCTACTTATGAAATATGAAGGAAATTAAGATAATGTTCAAAGCCTTTGTAATAAACCCTAAAACCTCCTGTCTCTGAGTTCTGGCAATAACCAGGAGGAACACATACCTTTTCTATTACTTTATAGTAGCACTCATATTATGAATCTCCCACTAATGACCATTTCGTAAATGCTAGAAGTCTGTCTTTTTCTATTCTTCCACTTCCTTTGCTTGAAAGTTATCTTGTTTTAGTCAATTAAATCTGCTCTATAATTTTCACTCCCTTAAAAAGTTATAGAAGTCCTGACAGGTTTTTTGTTTGTTTGTTTGTTTGTTTCCAATGGAAAATTTTCTAGTATATCTGGATGTTGCAAGTAGCCATCAGAAATATTCCCCAATGCGATATTTAATAAATGATATGTAACTTTAAAAAGATTCTAGTGATTTATAAATAATCTGGGTACAGTGATGCATGGCTGTAATCCTAGCACTTAGGGAAGCAGAGGCAGGCAGATCTCTGTGAGTTCAAGGCCAGACTGGTCTACAAAACAAGGCCAGGACACCAAGGCTACACTGTCTCAAAAAACCACCCCCCCCAAAAAAAAGAAAGTAAGAACAACCCCAACTTATATACATCTGTGACATAAAGGATGGTTCCTAACGTCAAACAAAGTATCTAGAGATATATTAAAACATTCCAAAGCATATTACATAGCATAAAGAGATGTGGCTGAATTGGATCAATGGAGAACTTAATCCCTACATCAGAGAACATCAACTTTATTTTCAGGTAATGATGCTATAGATTAAATCAATACTTGGTGATTTTATAAATTAAGTAACACACACACTCTTAGCAAATCTCTAACTGGTAGTATAGATCTATTAGAATAAAATACATCTCTCAAGAAAAGGAAACTGAAATTATTAAAATGACACAGTTTATAATGCTTATATTACAATAGTTTTTCCTTTATGTAAAAATAGTGTGCCAGCGGGTAACGCACTTTCCACACAGAGATTATAGTTCACATCCAAAAACATATCTCAAAAATTGACCAGCTGTGATCCTAGAACAGGAGTTAGAGACAGAGATTCCCGAGAGCAGCATGGCGAGGCGGACTAGTCAAGACGTGGGTCACGGAGAGAATCTGAATCAAATGTAAGATGGGAGCAACCGCGGAAGTCCCTTGATAGCGACCTTGGACCTCCCCAGGAACACAATGCATGCACAAGCACACACATGGCATCACACACACACACAGTTTAAAGTGGAGGACATGGAGCTTTAATTTTTTCCTTAATTTGGGTGAAATCTATTTTTATTCAGCTGATCTAAGTCTTTTTGTTTGTTTGTTTTAAGACTTGAAGGAATTGTCTTACCCTGAAAAGCTAATTACAAAGTTGTTAACTTATGAGGGAATTATATAATTCAAATGGGACGTAAGTAAGAGAAACCAGTGAAAGAGATCTAAATACTCCAAAGAGACACGAGAAACACAAATACATTTAAAAAAAAAATTAAACTAGCGTAGAAAGAAATGTCTGAGGAATTAGAAAGTATGAATAATTCCCCTTGAAAGGAAATTTGCCAGCGACGTGAACATTGAGAAGCCACAGGGAAACGCACATCCTAAACGTCACGGCCTGGGGTTATGTCGCACATATAGGGTGACTGAATGAGCTGAGGTTTCCCTCAAGCAGGGTGCTGACATCAGGCAGAGCCCTGAACTCACAGGAGCAGCAGAGGCCCTGCTTCCCCACGCCAATCAGCATGTTCAGGCAGAGGTTGCAGTAGGCCGGCTTGTTGAAGTGCTTGAGTCTCCACACGTGCTGTCCATCATCCTTCACGTTCTGCACGGGACAGGAGAGAAACAGATTTCGCTTAGTGACGTAAGCAGTGGAGTCTGTAAGTGCCGGTAAAGCTCAGGCTGGACCGCCGTGTCTGAAGACAAGCTGTGTTTTACGTCAGACACGGCGATCCTAGGACTTCACCTGCACCTGATCGCTAGCAGTAGAGTCTGCGTTAAATAATAATTTTAGTAAAGATGACAGGGCATTGTTGAGATGCCTTGTAAAAACTGTGATTTGGTCCATCTTATAAAAACTGCATTATCGTGTTTATAATAATTACTATAGTCAGGTGACACAGTAAAATCTTGGGTTTATATTCATAATTCGGTAAAAAAAAGAGAAGTGTTGTATTGCTTACTATGCTAAGTAAATCTACACGATATTTTAACCTACACATATGTAGCAGCTCTGCAGCTGGGTCACCAAGTGGGTCCCCTAACAGCTGCAGCAGGGGCTGTCTCTGACTCTGTTGCCTGCCTCTGGATCCCTTTCTCCTGGCTGGGCTGCCTTGTCTGGCCTCAGTGGGAGAAGATGCACTTAGTTCTGCTGTGACTCGAGGTGCCAGGGTGGGTTGGTACCCATGGAAGAGGGGCCTCATCTTCTCCTCAGAATAAGGGAAGGGACAGGAAAGGATGGGTGGGCGGATGGGACTGAGAGGAAAGAAGAGAGGGGTGGCAATCAGGCTGTAAAGCGATTAAATAAATAAATTAATGAAAATAAGGAAGATTAAATAAATGTTTAAATCAGCATGAATTTATAGGCTATTACCCTGTTTAAATCCTTATTAAAGGGTCAAAAGCAGTACAATAGTTATCATGCATCATTCTTTCCATCAACAGTTTGTATAATATTACATCTCCTTCATATCTCATTCACCAATTTGTGTGAAAATGAATTTAAAAACTATTAATGGCTATTCTATCAACACTGACATAATTAATATGTTTCCAGTTAGCAAGAATACATACTTCTTACCATGTGTTCACCAAATAATACCCGAGTATGTATTATGTGTCTGGGAAGTACAGAGAGATTGCACAAGCTCAGATCATCTTATTTTTATTAATAATAAAATATTAATAATAATGCTTCTAACCACTCTCTCTTATCACAATGAGAGCCAGGACACTGATTTATAATATCCATGAATCCATAGTAACTAATTCTCACATTAGAACTAGAAATGTCAAATTTGCATCCTAAGATGAAACATTAATGAAAATACTTCCTGGGAGGTACTTGTCAGTGGCGTCCTGAATTTTTGCAAGTCTTGAAAGCAGAAACACTGCCTTATTTTTGTCCCAAGCAGCCATTTCAAACACAACTGATTATTAAGGAGTTTGCACAACAGAGGTGCAACTATCCAGAGGAGAGGACAGACATGGCGGGGAAGCATGCTAATGAAACTACGCTGCACAGATCTCTGTCCACAGAGAGACTTGGTTTCCCAAGCCAAAGGACCAGGCTCCGATGCTGAGTGCTGCATTTACTTGGCTCATATTCTTTCACATCTTTAGACTAAAGGAGAAAGGCAAACCAGCTAAGCTGTGAAAGGCCTGTTGCCTGCTCTGCTGTAAGTAATATACCAATTGTCTCTGGCCCAGGGAGTCTCTGGTACTCAGGGAGCTGTAAGGAGCCGACCCCTTACCTTCAAAATTAGGTTAATCTCAGAATTTTCTCAATTTCTTAGCAATATTTAAATCTGTCTTTTGGATAATGGACTAGAAAGATGTCAGCAAAAGCAGCTATGAGAGAATGAAGATGATTATCATGGAGACCACATAAGGAGACAGAGTTTTAAGTATTTCCCTCTGCAATTTAAAAAATAAACTCTGTAGTTATTTCTGAGTCAAGTACTGGTTTGGCTGTATCATAATAATTTTAGTAGAACTACAGTTTAAACATGTTTAACTTTGCTATGTTTTATAATCCATATTTTTATTTCCATAATGTTAAAAGAATTAAACACTGTGATATATGAGACTGTTGATTTTTTTATAATCGTTGATCATAACAGTGCATTGTTTTAAGAGATTTTCAAGTGAAAGAAAGGGAAACGTTCTAATTTTCATATGTATTGCTGTTTTTATACTCCTTGTCATTTCATTTGAAGTGATTGTCCATTCCATGTGAATAAGCCTCATCCTGTTTGAGAGCGCATATGGACGAAGTTAGCTGGCATTTTCCTTATCAAAAAATAAACAACCCTAGACGTGGGTGTTCTGTCAGTCAGAACACTTAGCATGTTACAGGCGGCAAGGGGTGTACAAATCCATTACTTGGCCATAAAATGCTTTACAAAAAAAAAATTAAATAGCTTTATAGCTCTTCACCCAGTGCACTGCCCACATATGCCACAGATGAAATATGTATGTGGCTTCCTTCAAAGAAGAAATGGAAACCAAGAGCCAGCTGCTTCTCACTAGTGCAAATTGCACCCTGGCTCTCTGGATTTTCGTGTCTCATCTTGTCCTATTTAGATTGTAAACTTAGTAGAAGAGAGAGAATCAGTGTCATTCTATCAGCAGCACATATTCCTATTAATGTTTTTATAGCAAATAAATATGTATTATCAAGAAAGGAATTTGTGTTTATTTATTTATTTATTTGAGGGAATGAACAGAGAATTGGAAAGGCCTCAGTCCTGGCCTACTGTGAAAATGTGAAGTCGCTCTCTCACTTTTCCTTCTGCTTTTCTGTCTAATAAAACGAAGGCATCCACTTTCCTTCCTTGGGCCATGGTGAGGTTTCATTATACAATACTCATGAAGCTAATTTAGCTCATGAAGTTATATAAACAGTGTTTATATAAACAGCAGATATTATTACCATCATAGGGCTGAATTCTGTAACAACCAAAAATTTTACCCTAAAGAATTGAGAAGAATGTTTCTACGTCCCCTGGGATATTTTTCATAAAATACTGCCTTTCCCCCTTCTCTATACCACACATGGCACTGTTCCGTGCCTGTGACAAGGGATACTGTTTGCTGCTGCCTGGGCAAGTGCACAATAAGAAAGAGCTAGCGGTGCACTTCCTCAGCTTGCTAAAAGCCAGACAGAAGCTCAAAAACAAAACAACACAACACAACAAAACAATGAACCTTTGGGTTTGTTGTTATGTTGTTGTTTGTTCGCTTATCCTAAGCTTTTTCAAAGTACTGTGTTTCTTCCTCGGCATTTCTCAGAACATAGACAATGTTCTCAATTTATAGCCCTTGGTGGCCTGCAACTCTCTCGTGTAAAGCAAGCTGGCCTCAAACTCACTGACTGTCTCACTGTGCCCCTGGTTGCTGAGATTAAAGCCTGTACCACAATGCCTAGATAAAGCTAAATACTTTCTTAAAATGAGTTAAAGTTTCTTATTTCTATTTCCTCCTTCTTTCATAAAATTCCAAACTCCAACTAAGGACCATGCATGGAGAGGACCTAAACCCCTTGCTCAGATGTCGCCCATAGACTCAGTATCCAAATGGGTTCCCCGTAAGAGGAACAGGGACTGTTTCTGACATGAACTCAGGGGCTGGCTCTTTGATCACCTCCCCGAAGTGAACAGCCTTACCAGGCCACAGAGGAAGACAGTACAGCCAGTCCTGATGAGACCTGATAGGCTAGGGTCAGGTGGAAGGGGAGGAGGACCTCCCCTATCAGTGGACTAGGGGAGGGGCATGGGAGGAGAAGAGGGAGAGAGAGTGGGATTGGGAGGGAACAAAGGAGGGGGGCTACAGCTGGGATACAAAGTGAATAAACTGTAATAAATAATTTTTAAAAGACACTTCGTATTTCAAGCAAGTCAACTGTTTAGTTAGGTAGTACTATTTTAGGATAAGATAATGAATATTTTTAATGTTAATGAGTATTCAAGACTAAAGATTTCAGAATTGAAACATTATCTCTCACATTTGAAGGGAGGAATGCTTAAATTTTAAAGGACAACAATGGACAGACATGTTCAGTACTGTTTCTTTGCATTTTTCTAGAGAGATGAAACTTCCTATCACAAAATTATGGCCAATGAACACTAGGGCCAGTATCAATGCATGGATGTTCTCTGCTCTTGTGCTGCTTTTCCTGTTAGTCCTGATATCTAGCTGTGGTTGTCCCATTGTTCTAGATTCCTGTCTTGGTTTCTCAAGACCGATTAAAAATTAATTGAAGATCTTTTTGTTTTAAGACAAAAAATCAGAATGACAGCAGGCCCAATGACTTGCACCTATGATACTAGCACTCAGGAGCCTGAGGTAAGAATATCTTTTGGAATCTGGAGCATGCCTGGACCAGGGAGTGATGCCTTACAACTAAAAACTAAAACAAGGAAACAAACAAACAAACAGAGATGGAGTAGATTGGAAATCTAACAAACCATGGCACTGAGTCAAATCTAATTGGTAATCTGCTTTTTAAAAATGAAGTTTTATTGAACCACAGCTTTGTTGAATCATTAATTCAAAGGCTATGATACTTTGTATCTTATCACATCATGGATGAGCTGTTTAATAAAGACCTGTAGCCATGACACCTAAATTATTTCATGTCCATTATAGTCAGGTTTTAGTCTCTAAGAAAGCAGTGGCTATAAACAAATAATAACCTTTTTTATTCACTGATACTTTTAAAAGATTAGCCAAGGTCTTATGTCCCTGTCATAGACCTGAGAGTTTCCTGCAAGTGTGGCAACCTTGTGCCCATGGGTGACTCAAGAAGTTTGTTGGTGTTAAATTAGTAGCTGGGCCTTCAGGGGGGCCATAAAACCATGAACAGTGCTTGTGGAAATATAAGGAAAGTGGGCAGGGAGAACACAGCTTGCTGGGAATTAGGAGCCCCAGCCACTCATTGCTGGTTCTATGAGCTGTCAGAGACTGGGTTAACACCAGGTAGCCTCCTCAGCCCAGGGCTCAGGTGTCTCCATCCTTGTGGAAGCTCATTTACCAAGTTCAATGTCTAAGATCTGTACAGGGAACTAGGGCTTCTGTTGGGATTTCACAAGAACGATGTTTTGAAATGTCATGTGAAGGTGGCCCTCTCCTTCTGTATGTACTGCAGTGAACTTTGTTTTAATTTTTCCAAGTTAATCCAAACTGTTTTGTTTCAGAAAACTCATACAAGAGAGATAGCACATTAATGTACATAGTTGTTCTATGTTTGTGTGTGTGTGTGTGTGTGTGTGTTTTTAATTCACTGTACATCCTTGTTGTAGCCTCATCCCTCCTGTTCTTCAATTCTCACCCTTCTTTCCTCCCCTCTGCCTACCCTTTTCCTCAGGAAAGAGAGGTCCCTTTCCCATCCAGCCCTACTCATTAAGTTGCATCAGAACTAAGTGTGTCCTCTTCTCCTGTGGGTGGCCTGGCAAGGTAGAGCTGCCAGGGAAAAGTGATCAAAAAACTGGCAAGTGGGTCATATCTATGTCCAATGTAGTCCCCACGTCCCTTACTAGAGGACCCATATGAAGCCTAAGGTGCTTATCTGCTACATCTGTGCAGGAGGCATAGGTCTGGTTCATGTATAGTCCTTGGTTGATGCTTCAGTCTCAGCAATTCCCCCCTGGGCCCTGGTTAATTGGCTCTGTTGGTCTTCTTGTGGAGCTCCTGTCACCTACAGGTCCGTTTCTCTTCCCTCTGACTTTCCACAAGACTCCCTATGCATTGCCCAATGTCTGGTTCTGACTCTCAGAATCTGTTTTAAGGTGCCGCTGGGTAGAGCCTCTCAGGACAACTCTGTCAGGCTGCTGTCTGCAGGCTTAGTGGAGTATCCTTCCTAGTGTCTGGGATTGGAACTCTCCAATAGGATGGGTCTTTGGTTGGGCCCGTGTCGATGTTGGACATTCCCACAGGCTCTGCTCTATCTTTATCCCTGCACATCTTGTAAAATGGGTAAATTTTTCCAAACCCATATTTAAATAGCTCTCTTTGTATTAAACAATGTAGCCCTGCCATCTAGCGGCTATAATTGGGAACACAGTTCCAATTACAAAGGAAACACCCCAAATTGATCTCTCCTGTTAAATTCCAAATATTCGTTTTACACCCAAAACACAAAAGCATTTAAAATGAAGTTATATCATAAACTACATATAACTAAATTCTACAATATTAAAATCAAAAATTTGTTATCTAGTTAAACTCACTCTCACACTAAAATGACAGTGTATTTAAAATAACCCAATTTGAATTCTTACAGCTCTGTAGTTAAACAGTGCTATGGTTTTCTGATTTTATAAACTATTTCTATACAAATTACATTTAAAGAATTGCCAAACAATTACCTCCAAGTAAAAATAGCTTTTCAAAATATTGCCTTAAAATACATAGAGCAAAACCTCTCCTTCAGTGGTTTTCTTTCCTCACTTCAGGGTGGGAATGTCCTTGCTTCTGCTCATTTTGCTTTTTGTGGAGCCAGGGAGGAAACTCATGGTCTAAGGCACTCACTCCAGACCACCAAATTCCCCTCACACATCCCACAACTTCCTTCCTTTTCTTACATGATCACTTCCAATTAGAATATACAAAGTTTAGTTTTGAAATTGTGAAGTAAATTCATGGTAAGGCAGTACTTGGGGAAGGCTCTGACCTAAGCCACACGGCAGCTGCACTTTATTGGGGTAGATCTTAAAACGTTGGTGATTCTCAAGGCCACTTTGATTTGCATTTCCCTGATGACTACGGACATTGAGCATCTCTTTAGGTGTTTCTCTGCCATTCTATATTCCTCTACAGAGAATTCTCTGTTTAGCAACTTATCCCAATTTTTTAATTGTATTGCTTGATTTGCTGCTTTTTAATTTCTTTAGTTCTTTATATATTCTGGATATCAGACCTCTGTCAGATATAGGGTTGGTGAAGATCCTTTCCCAGTCTGTAGGCTGTCATTTTTGTTCTGACTACAGTGTCTTTTGCTTTACAGAAGTTTTTCAGTTTCATGAGGTCCCATTTATTGATTGTTGCTCTTAGAGCCCGTGCTGTTGGTGTTCTATTCAGGAAGTTGTCTCCTAAGCGAATGAGTTCTAGGCTCTTCCCTATTTATTCTTCTAACCTATTTGGGTGTCTGGTTTTATGTTGAGGTCTTTGATCCACTTGGACTTTAGTTTTGTGCAGGGTTATAAATATGGATCTATTTTCATCTTTCTGCTTGTAGACATCCAGTTGGACCAGCAGCATTTTTTGAAGATGCTGTCTTTTTTCCATCAAAATGTTTTGACTTCCTGTTGAAAATCAAGTATTCATAGGTGTTTGGGTATATTTCTGGGTCTTCTATTCAGTTCCATTGATCCTCCTTTCTGTTTTTATACCAATACCATGCAGTTTTTATTACCATTGTTCTGTAGTACAGCTTGAGATTGGGGATGGAGATATCTCCAGATGATCTGTTGTTGTACAGGATTGTTTTGGAGATTCTGGGTTTTTTGTTTCTCCATATGAAGCTGAGAATCTTTTCTTCAAGGTCTGTAAGAATTGTGTTGGTATTTTGATGGGAATTGCATTGAATCTGTAGATTGCTTTTGGCAGGATGGTCATTTTCACAATGTTAATCCTACCAATCCATGAGCATGGGAGATCTTTTCATTTTCTGATATCTTCTTCAATTTCTTTCTTCAGAGACTTGAAGTTTCTTTCAAACAGGTCTTTTACCTGTTTGGTTAAAGTCAGCCCAAGGTACTTTATGTTATTGGTGGCTATTGTGAAGGGTGTCATTTCTAAGATTTCTTTTTCGGCCCTTTTGTCTTAGGTATACTGGAAGGCTTCTGGGTTTTTTTTAGTTGATTTTGTATCCAGCCACTTTGCTGGAGGTGTTTATAAGCTGAAGGAGTTCTCTGGTTGAATTTTTGGGATCACTCATGAGTACTATCATATCATCTGCGAATAATGAAACTTTGACCTCTTCCTTTCCGATTTGAATTCCCTTGACCTCCTTTAGTTGTCTTGTTGCTTTAGCTAGGACTTCCAGTACTATGTTGAATAGATATGGAAAGAGTGGGCAGCCTTGCCTTGTCTCTGATTTCAGTGGTATTGATTTAAGTTTCTCTCCATTGAGTTTGATGTTGGCTATAGGCTTGCTGTATATTGCCTTTACTATGTTTAGGTATGTGCCTTGTATCCCTGATCTCTCCAAGACTTTAAACATGAATGGGTGTTGGATTTTTCAAATGCTTTTCAGCATCTAAGGAGATGACCATGTGGTTTTTCTCCTTCAGTTTGTTTATATGGTGGATTACATTGATGGATTTCCGTATATTGAACTATCCTTGCTCCAACCAAGGACCATGTTTGGATATAACTTAGAACCCCTGCTCAGATGTAGCCTGTGGTAGCTCAATATCCAAGTAGGGTTCCCTAGTAAGGGGAACAGGAACTATTTCTGACATGAATTCAAGGACTGGCTCCTTTACCTCCCCTCACCCCCGAGGGGGGAATAGCCTTGCTAGGCCACAGAGGAGGACATTGCAGCCAGAACTGATGATACCTGATAAACTAGGGTCAGTCAGATAGAAGAGGAGGAGGATCTCCCCTAGCAGTGGACTTGGAAAGGGACAGTGAAGAGATGAATGAAGGAGGGTGGGATTGGGAGGGAATGAGGGAGAGGGCTATCACTGGGATACAAAGTAAATAACCTGTGATGAATATTAAAAAAATAAAAAATAAATAAATAATATTTTTTTTAAAAAAAGTTGGTGATTTTATGTTGTCCTTCTTTTCCCTCCTTGTTAGCCTGTTGATATTATGCTTTTCTTATGAGGTTTCTAGAATACTATGATATATGGCAAGTTATCATTAAAAGATTAGAGATTTTGGATAGCATACAAAGTTTATAAATACTACTTCAATAATTTTCAAGGTGAATGAATGTGATAGTTCCCTGTGGGCTTTTGTTTTTTCTTTTTTTTTAATTTTTCTGTGACTTTTATCTATTTTGACAATGCAGAAGACTAGGCCCAGGGCCCTGTACTTAACCAGACAAAACATGAGTCTATGAAGCTCATCCCTGAGACATCAAAATGAATGAATATGTACAAAAGCAGAATGTTGAACAATACCATTTAGATTTAACACTTCTTATTACATCATTTTAAGGACAATCCCCACATTTTCTCAATTTTTACCTCTGCTCATGCCTGGAGTCCCATGGGTCTTTTGAAGAACAAGATGAGAGAGCGAAAAAAATTGGGAAATCAAGATGAAGTCTGAACTAACCCTAATTTCCTGAAGCCTATTTCTATATCCCTAAATCCCATATGTCTTGCACCCGTGTGTACAACATTTTTCATGTAGATTCGTGTTTCACACAGTTACACCATGGAATTACCAGAAGCTGAGAACGTTACTTCACACTCAATGCTAGAAAAACAACCTGGTCAACTGATCATTGAATGTCACCCAAGAGTGTCCCACTGACCTAGCTGCACTCCCTCCTCATTGCCAAGGCTTACATTTTCCAAGCCCAGCAGGACGAGAAGCGGGATGGTCGTCATTCCCCCTTGAATCCACTCCTCCAGAGACACAGTCCCATCCCTGTCATAGTCTATCTCCTCCATCATTTCATGGAGGATCTGCAAACAGGAGACAGAAACAAGAACATTCAGAAAACTGATGGTTAAAATCCTCTTAATTCAACAAACCAACTGGCTTCTCCAACTAGCTATACCATGTTGTGACAAGAAATGGAGTGAAAGCTGAGAGAAATGTCTGTGACTAAGCATATTAATCCTGTTACTCTAGAACCTGGCTTTTTATGCTCATCAATTTTTAGAAACAGCTGCCCAACTCTTTTTTCAAGGAACAGCAGCATGTTGAAAATTAAAGGGCACTTTTAATTTAAGGGTAAAAGTAGTCTCCAATTACTTCCTCAAGATCACTTTTTAAGGTCATATATATGCCAGAAAGTGTCTGGACAAATTAAAATCATGGCAGAGAGCTCAAATAATTTTTTGCTAAGTAGTATTGGGTGAGGGAATTAAGTTGCTTGTAATTGCTTATAACAATTTAACAGAGCCCAGACTTAATGACTTGATCATGTTTGATTAGACTTCTTTAAAGACGGCTTGCAAGTAATGTTCAACAATGTGTGATTGTGATAATGGGGATACTTATTTCAAAGGGTTGTGAGGATGTAGTGAGAGAATGTATTTTAAGTTAAAGACCTCTGGCATATACAGGAAGATCCATGTGAAGCTTGGGTGAACATTAATATAAATTATATACAAGCTCCAATTATATTAGCCTTGGTTACTATGAAGGTCAACAGGCGTTGACTTTCTCATCTAGGAAAATCAGAAAGGTAAGTATGGTAGAAACCTGAAAGAAGAAAACACATTGTCTTTATACAATGTGGGCATTTTAATCAGTCTGGAAAAATACATTCAAACAGAGTGAAAAGAAAGATATGAAAAGTTTAAATGTGGTTCTTGAAATGGAAGTGTAAACAGTATTTTCCTGGCTTTCTGCTTGGTGTCTTTGTTAGATTGTTCTCCTTCATACTAACACAAGTATCTCCTGAATGGAAGAGACTTTGGGGATTAGGGCACACCAGCATCATTGCTTCATTATCCATTATTGTCTGAATAAAAGGCAAAAGATTTAGAACTTGATAAAATGACATACGATCTGATTAAAGTGTTATGCCTCTCAGAGGTATGTCAATGAATTGGTAGAAATGGACCCATAAGAAACTTAGCTTCCTGAGGTGCCACACACTTGTGATGCCAGCACTCAGGAGCTGGAGGAAGAAAGACTGAGCTTGAGGCCAGACTAAATAGTAAGATCCTGTCAAAGGGGAAAATAGGGCATGATGAAACCTGAACCCAAACCCTCTGCTTGTTTTCTGGCTTTATAATGCAGGGTCTCTCTAGCTTAGACTAGCTGAAGGACTCACCTTTTTTAGCACCAGGGTTTTGGTGCTGCGAGGATGCAGCACCATACTCAGCCTCATACTTTTAACTTGTATGCTTAGTAAATCCGATGTCAGAGCCTGAATTCACTTCACAAAGAATTCCTTCCAAGGACATGCTGCTCTTCCTATCTATTTCTACCAAGCTCAAGTGTTCAGTTTTCTCTATTTGCGCAGACCTGAAAGGAGTGTCTAAATGTTAAAAGGAGAAGAGCTGTTGCAGCTGAGGGCAAGATACGGTGCAAGCTAGGACAGCAAACACAATGTTCACAGCAACGATGTTTTCTTAGCTCTCACTCTGGACTGTCCAGATGGGAGGCCGGCATATCAGGATCACCCAGGACAAATGATACCAGGGTTGTTATGTGTAATCTCTGGGCGATATTTGTCAGAGGCAACTGTCCAAGTACCAACTGCTGCTTCCTTTGGAACCCCCATATCTCACTTTGGTGTGACACTGGGCACCAGAAACTGTTTTCTGAGCAGTTGGTGCTATCTCCTTCTGATATGAAAAAATGATAGAGAACAGGCTTCCTGCACTCATTCCTGAGAAAGCGGGCAGACTTCCCTGACAGGGAACAATCATCATAATCAGAAATTTGAATAGAGTGGAAAAATACTCTTTAGTTTTTGTTTTGTTTTGTTTTGTTTTGGTTTGGCTTTGGTTTTTGTTTTCTAATCAAAGGAGTAACAACTTCTAGCAAATCTCATGGTTTCAGTAGAATCTTAAAATGACTTCTTCAATACATTAAACACAGTTACCAGTTCCTTGAATTTCATAGACAAAACCGGGAATGAGGTGTCACTTGCTGTGAGCACAGCAGGAAAATTTCCACAACAAAGTAAGTGAAACTGAAACACAGTTGAATTGGAACTGGAAGAAGTCTCAGTCAGGCTAAGAACATAGCTGCCATTTTGCAGAGGACTCAGTGGTTTAACAGGAGGTGAAGGCACCCTGAGTTCTTGCCTCACAGTCCTGTTTTTACTGTGGTACTGAGTACTTTACAAATAAGCTTTTTTAATTCATGTGGCACGCAGACCTTTAAATAAAACCGAATTGCTTTCTTCATACATACGTCACAAACTTAATTGCCTTTAAAAATAAAACAACTGTCTCCTATCAATTTCACTCAAAATATTATTTATATCTTAAGTTTAATTGTCGGCAAAGGAATGTTTCAATACTTTTTAATGATGATGCAATTTTGTATCCATTTTGTATCCATACATAATAAGGCCTCTGTATTTTTTATAAACATTTAAAAACACTGTTTCTTTAAACAAGTGTATTAAAAATTTCTGGCTGTGTTAGTAAGTAGCTGGATAGTTTTGAGCAAGAAATGTCAATATACTTGGGTTTCAATTTACCCATTTAAAGAAAAAATAAAATAGTGCATCCAGGAGTTAGAGGCACAGGAGCAGCACAGTGTGCCTTGGATAAAAATACACCAGCGTCTTTGACAGCATGGGATGCCTTAGCAGTGTCCATCAGCAGCATCCGCTTGCTCCTGTGTATGTAGCCTCACTGCTTAGAATTCAGTAACCAAGACGAAGAAAGCCAAGGTGGCCGCCTACAACTTCCAGACACCACCTGGACCCTACCTTCCCATCCACAGTCAACTTGACTTCTGCTTAGACATAATAATTGAATCACAAATGTTAAAAACAAATTGCCATTATATACTTAGGCCCCAACCCCCAAAAACACTAAAAGAGAAAGAGGCCATACATAAATTAGTCAAATTAGTCCACCGTTCATTCTTGCACATGCCTACCGGATTGAGTTCAGTGACGTCCCATTCCAGGTACTCCGCGACATGCATCATTTGCCCGATGATGTTCTCTAACTCCTGCGACAGGAGGCAGGAGAGTGGAGGATGTGAGGGAGCAAGAGAGACAGAAAGGGAAGAGCTCGTCAACCTTGGTTTTAGAGCTTTGCGATTCAGTTCGTACAAGGGATTACCTACTTATACGGCCAAATTTCTGAAACCATATACATTCATGGAAACCATTTAAATATCTTTTAACAACACAGAAAGGAGTATCTAAACATGAATTTTATGAACTGTTACAGATTTCTATAACTGATGCCCAGAAAAGGGGAGCCGAAATAAAAGTCGATGGTGCCCTTTACCAGCAGAGGGCACGACAGTGCCACGCAGGGCTTTCGCCTACCCATGCTTTCTTGAAAGTAGGAGAGCAATGTGTGTTTTCACACGGTGTGAGGTTTAAGTAGCTGAAAGTCCCGAGGGATGGAAGGAAGCGTGGGCACACGCCAGAAAGGCGTTTTTCATTCTCCTGTGCTGGGATCATACATTGGCTGTGTAGGAGGACACTTCCCAGGGTACTTTACCAGAATGCTGTTTTGAGGTCAAGGTTTGGAGGCTAAATGCTTGTGGACTTTATTTGCTGAAAGGGTCAAGTTATAGTTCAAATTTCATAGTCTCCTAACCTCAACTGCTAGGGAACACACATGACTTGGCTAAATGAATCTGTACTTTCTATTTTTTAGTGTATACAGCTAAATCTTGGTTTTCCTCATCTATCTCCAGAAAAACAATTAAATGTTTCTTCATAAGATTTTGCTTATTTATAATATTTAAAAAGTGATATTTGTTTTAATTTGAAATATAAAGTTACATAAAGGTAAGGCTTGAAAGTATATAAAATCAAAGATATTTCTGTTGGGATCCCTGTCACATGTGGTCACATGTGACATCCCTGTCACAGTTCATCAGATAAAGACAGAAGTGTAGCAAGAAGAGGTTAACTTGTAGGACCCAAGAGATCCCCTGAGAATGAAATGAGAGCTAAATTCCTACTAGTAAAAGAAATGCAACTAACAAATGCCATATGAGAAATGTTGTCCCAGAGTATAAGTATAAGTAAACTTACTAAAAACTGATTGACATCAGTACTGCTGATAATTCAGTAGTGATTGCTAACCTCTCTTCCATTCTGTCTTTGCTCAGTACTTTGAAGAAGTTAAAGCTGCCGAACACATAATAGAAACTGTGGTTCCTGGACTGTGTCATAGGCACATGAATCAGATGAATCATTTAGCCTGTCTTAGATGATCTCCTCACAGGTGAGCTGGACTACCTAACCTGACCAAATTCATGATCATTAGAAAAGTCTACTAAGATAATGTGTTGTCATATAAAATACATTCATCATGTCACCAGAATGTTGCAAATAATCAATAAACATTAATAATCAATGTGAGACACAGTCAGCATTGAAGTCAATGATGATCTTTCTGTTTTGCTTCCAAAAGTTGAACTGTTACTTCTTTTAAATGTCAGTGCAAATTATTTTAGAAGGCAAAATTTGAAACAGATATTAAATGAACTACCTGAGGTTAGTAGATGGAGTTGAGAAAAAAAAAAACCCTAGGGCTTAATCTTGACAATTAATTTAAAGGAAAAATAAAAATAGAAATGAAGAACTAATCATGAACAAATCCATTTATTCTCAAAGCAGTGTTTGATACTGGGCATTGAATTATAAGTGGTAGAAACAATTAACTACATATGGTCCCTTAAAATGGCCAGAATCCAGAAAAAAAAAAAAGAAAGAAAGAAAGAAAGAATTTGACTGCATTTTCAAGTCAGCTGCCAACCAGTGGCTAAAAGCCTAGTTAAGAAATCATTTTAATTTAATTAAAAAGAAACATTACACAAAACAAATCTTCATTAGATGCACTACAATATAATTTGCATTAGTATAGACACAAGTGGTACAATATACATTTTAAAACATCTACAAGAAATCCAAATGCCTTTCTATGGAGTTGGACCAGGAAAAAAAAAAAAAAAGGAGAGTAAACTAGCCCTATTTCAGTATTCCTGCACGGTGATTAGTATACAAGAATAACAAAAAAGCAAGCAAGCAAGCAAACAAACAAACAAAAAGCAAAACACCGAGGTTTAAATTTAAGCAGTCCGAGAATCACGGCATCAGCTCCTGGTTGTTCCCTGGAGGAGCGATTCCAGAGCTTTTCTTCTCTCTGGAGAAGCTAGCATGCAACGGCTATCCTACTCAGTGGTATAGAAAGACATGTCTGACTCCACAAACATCCCTGTAAAAGTCTATGTGGCAAGTTGGCTTAGCAGGTTGAGGACTTCTGTCTCCAAGACTGACCACCTGAACTTAAACCTGTGAGGCCCATGGCAGGAGGAAGAGCTACCTCCCTCAAGTTGTCCTTGGAACTCCACACATTCACATGCATCAGTGCGTCGCGGTCCGTGAACATATATGCAAATATTTTTCAACAAAAGACTGGAAGAGTTGGGTGGGGGTGGATAGGAGGACAAGAACGCCACAACAAGACCAACAGAGTCAGCCAATCTAGACCCATGGGGCTTCACAAAGATGTAGGCACCAACCAAAGAGCTGGCATAGACTGGACCTAGGCCCCAGACACATATGTAACTGAAGGGCAGCTTGATCTTCACATGGGTCTCTTAGTGAGTTGAGCGGGTGCTGTCTCTGACATGAACTCTGTTGCCTGCTCTTCTATCACTTCCCTTGTCTAGTCTCAGTGGATGATGATGGGCTCAGTCCTGATTTGACTTGATGTGCTGGGGTTAGTTGGTTGGTTGGTTGGTGTGGGGGGCTCCCCTTTTCTGAGGAGAAGGGGACAGGGAGAAAGGGGAGGGAGGGACCAGTAGGAGAAGAGGGAGGGGATCGGGATGTAAAGTGAATAATAAATTAAAAATAAATTTAAAGAAACTCAGGTTTACTTGAGCCACAGCGAGCTCTATCAGATGAACAGAAAAGCCCTCTGCTGAACGGCTTCTGCCCTTCCCTCACTGTTAAACAAGCCAGGTGTAGTGGCACACGCCTTACACCCAGCTCTCTGGGAGGCAGATTTAGGCAGATCATTGTGTGTTTTAGTCCAGCCTGGTCTACAGAGTGAGTCCAGGACAGCCAAGTCTACACAGAGAAACCCTGTCCCAGGAAAACAAACAAACAAACACCTAAAAACTGGGTTCAATCCTTAGCATCACAACAATAGGGGATTGTTTGTATTTGGAATTCAATGTATTTACTCAGAAATGCCGAAGCCTACTCTCACATCAATCCTTATATTACTGTTTGTAGTTTTTCTGCAAACGTGTTATCTGCAAATATAGAACAGTTAATTGAGTAGAACACGCAGCCCTGTCCTGTGCATACTGGGTGTCTCATTTCTACTTCTCTGAAGGCTGCCATTGATCCCTACATACTTAAGTGAGATAAACATTTAATTATGTCTTTCAGATTATCATACAGATACACAATTTCCTTTCATTATTTGCTCTGTCTTAAGCTATAGAATGGAAAGCTTCATACAAACTTAGATGAGATGTCAAAAGAGATTTCTCACCAAGCTGGAAGTACATTACTTTCCTTTACTGTAAAGCATTCTGTATGAGTAAGAATACTTTAAGTAGGGGGAATATAAAATAAATCAGTTTCATAATTTCTTTAGATGCTTTATGCTTACTCGCTATTTTTCTTAGAATTTTACTGATAGTTGTTTTGCTTTTCTAGGCTGTTGTTTCAGCTCTGGCCTGTGTTTTCTTCCTAAGTCTGGAGTCTTCCTTGTAACTAAGGACAGTGCAGAAATAAAGCCTTTTAGTTTTTTTGTGGTTTTTAGGGGTTGTTGTTTTTTATCAGCAAAGCCATCAGATAGAACACTCACAATTCTCAGTTCTATGAGGTCTGACTTCTGTGATAACTATAAGTTTACCCATGGCTTCTTTCAAAATAAATTATTTTGCATTTTTTTTCAGAGAATATTTGAAGAAAAAAAATTACCGAGCTGTCCAGGAAACCATTCCCATCGGTGTCATAAAGGCGAAACATAACTAGAATAAAACAGATGGGGGGGGGGGAGGGAGATTATAGATGAGAAAGGTCATGTTGGTTTAAGGCAGATTTTTTAAAAATCTAGTTTCTGTTGAAGACAAATACTTCATTTCCACTGCTTAAAGTCTTTATTTGTGAGACTTTTTTAAAACACCAAACTGAAAATTAATTAATTGAGTAATAAAAATACTTTATCTCAGAATTTTAGTTTATAAAATAATGTTTGTACTCAGAGAAAATTAATAAGATTATTTGCTTAAATTTGGTTTTTTGATTCTTAGTTGTGAATTCAAATATCAAAGAAAAGTTGAATTATTCAGCACCTGAATATTAAAGGGTAGAGTGGAGTTAGAAAAACAACCAATTTAGAATTTAACAAGCTTAGACTCCATGGGACTATTTTCTTATCCCTAATAAGAGAATAATCCCTAATACAGGAGAATAATCTCCCTGCCATTGGGCTCCTGTCTGCCATGGCTGGCAAGAGAGATGGGACACACAGGTACGTACCGGAAGCTACCGTCCGATACATAAACACAAGATGCTATTATGATCTATCCCAAACAGTGTGAGAGAGGAAACAGGAGTTTATCATAAGAGATTCTTTCTGGAGGGTGACCTCAGCTCCTAAACATACACTGTAACATGACTATTTTGGCTTCTTGGGCTGGATCGAGAAGCAGGCTTTACTGGGCATCTCCTCTTTAAAATAACCAAGTAAGGAGATTCTGAACACCGACTCTCTTAATAAGCTAGGAAAAGGAGATAGGGAGTCCAAGGTGTGAGATCTCCCTTGTATAATTCACTGACCACAGGGAGGCCATGGAAGATGCTGCAGGTGTCCTTTTTAAGGTAAACATGGGAGATTGACACAGCTGTGAAAACAGAAGGGTGGAAGTGGGGGTTCGTGTTGACTTTGCATAATTTCCTGGAGGGTCTTAAGTTTGAGTTCTGCATGTTAACAGAGACATTGGTAGCTAGGAGAGGGTGCATTACTGTAATTATTCTTGCACGTAAGGCTTATAGAATTCTACCAACTAAAACCTGTTTACAAACACAAGATACAAAATTATCTGTCTATAGTGTATCACTATAAGTTTTTAAATGTTATCAAATTAACTATGACTTTGTATTCTTTTGCAATAGGAAAACAACCATTAAAGATATAAACCTGGAAGAAATGTGTATTTATTAAATTAAGGTTAGCTAAGATTTCAAGATATTTAACCATGTGATTGATCTCTCTCACATATTCAATAAATGAGTATAAAATCGTAAAAATAAAAGAAAAAAGCTTTCCGCAATGTAGACAGTGAGCATCTCAAGATTTTCCAGTAGAGTTGAAAATACTAAAACTCTTTCCATAAGTGGAATGAATTACAGACTATGCAGAAAAACAGTTCAGCACCAAGAACAGGGTGAGGCAAGAGAGAAATCCAACTCTATCTCAGAAGTAGGGTGACAAGTAGGAACACAGCAGCTCTGTTTTTCTCTACAGAGAAAATGTCTGAAAAAACCACCTCAAATGATTCAAACATGGAGCAGTTTTGTGACCATTGGCAGTTGACACCAAGAAGACCCAGCAAAGAAAGAAATGTTCCAACCTAGAAATAAGAGCAGCTGTATAGAAAGTTCCTTCTGGCGCAAATAGAATGTATATGAAGTTAAAAGAATCAGAAAAAAATAGAGAAAAGGGTAAGCACAAGATGTGAAGTGAACTACAAACACGAAATAAAAGAGGGGTTTAAAAAAACAAACATGAAAGATCAAATGAAGAAAATAAATTCGAACAGGAATTTAAAAGTCTGCCTTCAAAGTACAACAGTCAAAGAACACAGCAAGTACCCTAAAGGAAATGGAAAAAGATATCAATTAACATGCAAAAGATCACAACTGCTCAGCAAAATTTATAGTTGAGAATGTAAAAGTTAACTATTTGCAGAAAGGGAAAAAAGCAAACAAATAACATGGGCATTAGCTCCATGGAAAATAAGTTATTCAACCTACTAGGTCTTTGAAGACTGTCTCTTTTAAAATCAGCTTCTAAATAAGATAGGTAAAAGCACATTTTGAAACCTTAAATATTAGTATGATTATTTTTCCTTAATATTTAAAAGTAGAGACAGGTTTCAAGGTAAAGTAGGTCATTAAAAAATTAGGTTTTAATTTTGAAACCAATATAGATTTATAGATCCTTTGGTTCCAAGATAAAATATGCCTGATATTCAGATTATTCTGTCAATGTGATATGAGTCAAAGGCAGGGACCTGCTACAAAGTTATGAGCTAGCTTAGCCCACTTTTTTCTATTTTTATAGCCACGTCATTTTGCTTTGTGTAGAGACAGTTATGTGCCCACACTTGAATTTAGCTAAAAGGTTAGAGTCGAGGCATATTATATAAGATGAAAATTTTCTATTTTTCTAAAACTTTTTCTTAAATTTTTTTAAAAATTATGTCTTTGCTTTTCACTGAATATCTCACAATGCAAACTACATAGTGTCTTCACTTTCCATATTATGCTACTGATATGAAACCAGAATTAGTGTGTGCAGAATTAATTATACAGAACAAAGTATTTATTTTGATAATATTTCATTTGGGAACCCCTCAATACACAAATTTCAATTACCCGCCTAAATACTAAAGTTCAGAGACAGGAGTTTAAAAAAAAAAAAAAAAGAACTTCTATAAATTTTGAAATCCATGATAATAGGAAAATATTCTCATTTTCTCCATATTTCCTGCAAGAAAAAAACAAAAAACTGTGAATAGTATAAATAGTGGCCCTTCTGAATAAAAAGGAATCATACAGTTAAGAAGTCATGCTCCTTCCTTTCTCTTAAGTTCCACATTGGTCACTAACACATGACATAAGGTCCAACAGAATAGGCCCTGTTAGGAGATAGCAGGAGTATTCATAATGCAAGATGGGCCTCAAGTGGACTAGGTCAGAAACACTGGCAAAGAGGGACAGTGACTGTGGGGGACAGATGGCAACATCGGTGGGATGTGCCAGTGTGTCTTGTGATGGAACAGCTGACCCATGCTGCCAGCTAAATGATAGCAACCACGAGGAAAAAGGAATCCCCTTGGAACCTTAATGAACATGTGCTTCCTGATCCCTTTCCAAGTGAGTAGGCCAAGTGCACAGAGAAATGAAGGCAAGGTTAAGGAAAGGCAGGTGAAGAGATGGTTTATGTTCCACTATCTCCGTTTGTTTCTTTTTAATGGGGTAGACTTTAAGTCTTCCACAAGTACCTGGCAGAAGGACTGAAACGGGCTTAGGACAAGGTAGGAAGTGGTGAAATAGAAGCGTCATTTTGGTAGAAGACACATTCCATTCATGAACGTTGGAAACTTTCTTAAATGGAGCAGTCTATCTAAGGACCAGCAGGAAGGAATCACAGATGCCCAGGAAAACAGGCCTGTCGGGTAAACTGATGGTGGTGATGTGTCACCTAGAGAAGAAACCGCACTACCTGTTCCTCATCTGTGGGGGGCTCCCAGGCAAAAAGCAGCAATGTCTTAAGCACATTCGTTTTTATCAGCTGATTTTAGGTCCCATAGCCAAGGGCACCCAGTAACCTATGTGCACAGGTCTGCCAAGTGATTTTGGTGGGTGATTGTGTGGGAATGTCTGGCCTAAACCGAGGTGTGTCTATCCTGTTTTGGTATCTACCTCAAGGGAAGATTCAACTTCAATCCTCTCCCTCACAAGTAACTATTGGGTTCCATACCACATCTGCTTCTGTCTTCTAGTCACCACTTCTTTTTAGTTCTGGTCTATGCGATGATACAACCCTTTTGGAAGTAACTATGTAGTTTATAAGACACTATTAATGTGTATCTCACTGACAATAATTCTAGAAACTGAAAATGTAAAAGAATGTAAGGAATTTGTAATGTACAAATGAAGACAGGTTAAAAACCGCAGATAAATAATAAATAAGTAAATAAAGTGGATAATAAATAAATAAATAAATAAATAAATAAATAAATAGATAAAGTGGATGAAAGATGGATTTGATTCACTGATGTGGGAAAATATCAGACATTTAAAAGGAAAAAACTAAAACACAAAGTTCCTGATTATTTTGATGAATAGTGGCAGTGATAGCTACCAAATCATGGGGTCAGAAAAAGGAGATCATACTTTGAGAGATCTGAAAGAAGTGTAACATCAGGGCACAGAGCTTGGTCAATAGAACAGTCTGAAGGCGTGATTGCAAAGTGAGGAAAAAGTCAGGGCATCTGCTGTAGGCTCTGGAGGAGCGAGACAGCGGGAAACTCGGAGAACAAAGAACACACTGAAGGGATGTGAACAGCAGGTCAGCTTTATTACATTCGTCCACGGGCTTCAGAGTGAGTGGATATTCTGACTGGGGTTGCGTACAAAGGCTGTGTGGAGTTAAGAAATGAGCTACAAAGCAAGAAACGTGGTTCTTATGGATCCTCTCCCAAAACGATGTCTAACGGTTGCCTTACAAATGATCAACTGCAGCACCAAAGTCTACTTTACGGGAGATGGACGGTACCTTCGTTAATCCTCAGATTGAAAAAAAAAATTTCTACATCATCATCCCAAACACAGCAATGACAGCACCTGAGCAAACTTTCTCTTTGGCCATCACTTCAATAGAAATTCAATGTTTACTTTGGAATCAGAGTGATTTCTTCACGTTCTTAGGGATACAAAATAAATCTTGAGATGCAAATATTCAATGTTTATGAATAATAAATACATATTTAAAGAATAATATTCATATGGTTTATTCATAACCTAAGCTGGTGTGACTCCTAGGCAATCACAGTAAATTCTTTACTAGTGAGAAATATTATCAAAAAGTTACAATTTAACTAAACTGCTTGGTAATTGCAATTCTAATACATTGCAGTGTTTTAAATTTTATTAAGAACTATTAAAGTTTGGTTTTGTTATCTTTATTACCATTTTGGTAGTAAAATTTTAATTCATTTTAATCTCTAATATAATATGGTTCATCTACTCTGAGTATACAGTAACTGCGTTTGTTATAATGAGCTTTACAATTTCAGACTCATCATTTGAAATCTTTGAGCAGAGTGCAGGGAACCTTATGAAAGAAGAGGGAGATAGAAAGATCTTGAGGGGACAGGACCTCCAAAAGGAGAGCAACAGAACCCAAAATTCTGGACCCAGGGATCCCTCTAGAGACCAATACTCCAACCAAAGTCTATGCATGGAGAGGAACTAGACCCCTGCTCAGATGTAGCCCATAGGCAGCTCAGTCTCCAAGTGTGTTCCCTAGCAAGGGGGGTAGGAGCTGTCTCTGATGTGAAACTCTGTGGTTGACTCTCTGATTACCTCTCTCTGGGTGGGGATGGGGGTGGGGGGGGGGGTGGGGGTTGAAGCCTTGCCAGGCTACAGAGGAAGACAAGACAGTTAGTCCTGATGAGACCTGATAGGCTAGAGTCAGATAGAAGGGGAGGAGGATTTCCTCTATCAGTGGACTTGGAGAGGGGTATAGAGGTAGAAGAGAGAGAAAAAGTGGGACCTGGAGGAGACAGCAGGGGGATATAGCTGGGATACAAAATAAATACATTGTAATAAGTAATAAATAATTAAAAAGAAAAGAAAAAGTATGTTCTTTCATTGTAGTTTGTACATTTTACCACCAGGGAGAGCTCAATCACTGCAGTTTATTAAAGGAAGTTAACTAGGCACTAAAATTTTTCTACCTGTAATATTGTAAAAGAAACAGAACTACTGTTTAGTTATTTATAATATACAGTACTACATCTTATATATGAGGCATTTGAGAATTTTTTTCTCAGTCAAAGAGAGTGGTAATACGATGGTGAAGGTAGGTTGCCATGGAGAAGAGTGTAAGGTGTGTTTGTGTGTATAAAAGGAAGGGGGATTTCTCACTCCCTATCTTGAAGATCTGGCCTGTCCTCCTCAAAGAAGAGGAATAAATGCTCTGCCAAACAATTTAGATTTTCCAGTTGCTTCTTGAAAACTCAAAAGGACCTGAGGATGAAACAACATTCAGGAACCATTTTACATCATCATAACAAACTTCAACATCTTTTAACAAAATGCAGTGTTTCAGAATTCTAAGAAGGATGCAATTTCAGTTAAACTTAATGGTAGCTTTCTGATTGTTTCACTCTAAGAAAAGTGCTCTTTTATTTTCTCTTAATTGTTGAGCAAGGTCATTTTAGTGACCAGACAATGTAGGCAAGCGTAATTACACCAATACACCGTCCCTCCTCTAAGCCCCAGCTCGATGAATAAGCACAATTACCAAAACATACACTCAAGTTTATCCTCCGGTCTTCCTCTTTCAAGGAGAGACAGGTAGCAGACAATGTCCTTGAGGTGGATCACTTCCGGGGAGCACGTATTTGCTGGAGAAGAACGTGGAGGGGTGATGGCACCTTTATTCATCCTCAGACCTGGAAAATATATTTATATATTTAAAATATTCACTGTGCCCTCAAATATGAAATGACTAAAAGAAATAGTTCTAGCTATTGTGAACATAATATAATATAATCAAATGCACTAGAACACCAATATATTAGCTTTCCATGAATACTGTGAGTGGTGCAAAGAGGAAAGTTTTCAGGATCCAGTGGCAGGGGCTGAGCAGTCCACCACTGTAGGATGTTAGAGTCAGCTTATCCTTTGCCCAGGAGGTGTGAGATGATGAAGAGTTAGCACAGAAAAGAGTTAGCATATATATATTTCTAGTCTTGCTTTCTTTGTATTAGTCGGTGACAAATAAGAATCAATTTGGAAGATACCAGAATTGCCCTTTTGTAAAATACTGAGAAAGCAATGCGAGTCTGTCCCATTATGAGTCATACATTTGAGAGTAAGTAATCATTTACAAAATATTATTTATGTCAAGTGTCTGTCAGCACCATAAACAAGAAAGCCACCTGCCATCAGACTTTCCCTGAGTATGAATAAGTACAACATGAAGAGAAATCAGCATCAGCAAGATGGACACTTTGGGAAAAGTTGGGACATATCACTGTAGCTTGATTTCAGTATGATCTTCACTGGTGCCTTATGGGCCAGCCAGTTCTAAACATCGAGGCATTCTCAAAACAAAGAAAAAACCTACATGTTACATTTAAAATATCAAAAAAAAAAAAAACCCTTTTGGTTACATTTCATTTATCTGGTATGTATATGTACACATATGTGTGTGTATACACACACATGAATGTTATGGCATCTTAGGACCATTTTCCATCATGTGGAATTCAGGCCAGGAATTCAGATCACAAGTCTCAGCAACAACTAGTACCTTTGGTTGCTGGGCCAGCCCATGGGCCCTTTGTTTCCAAAACCCTGATGACTTGTCCTGCTCTAAGACAACTATTGAGAAAGTAAGTATTTGTTCACACTGCTGATTATTCTGTAACAGGAGCCCCTTCACACAGAAGACCCATTCACAGAGAAACCTGTGAAGTCAAAGTGTGAGCACCTGAAAAGGCCTGAGGTAAACCTCAGTGATAACCAAAGTGTGCATTTGACAAGAAGTACTTGACCAGGCTGACTGGTGGGCTGGGTGTCCCATGGGTTCCCAATCTGCCAACAGCTCTGGGGAAGAGCAAGTTACACAAGGACAGTTTGAGCAGCTGCCTTTTCTTGGCAGGAATCTCTCTGACAGATCTGTTTGCAGCTCTGACTCTTCCTGTACTTCCTGATATCTCATCTGGCCATCTCAGAACCATACAATATCAACTGTGACGCTTTATCAAAATGTCTTCAGTTTCCATCTTTGCTGATGTTGCCTGTAATAACAGGTCTCCTTTAAAGTGCTTCTAATATCAGGCCGGAATCACGAAAGGGTCATTCATACACCATCTCACTTAATTCTCACATTAACCTTTGTGAGGTTTACTATATTGTCCTCACTTGACAGAGGAGAAATAGGCTCTTAAGTACGGCTGTTCCAGAGTTTTCACTGCCAGCCATACAAGTCTACCTTCCTCACTCAATCCTGCCAACCTGTGCAGTCTTTTCCTTTAAGGACCCTAAGGAACACAGAACAAGACACACACAAGCACAATTCGTGGCTTTTGTAACAGCGTAAATATTTTCTTTAAACTATTTTGACTCTATTGCTTCTCTTTTCATTCTCAAAATTTCATCAGAGAACCTTTCAACTGACACTATTACATGTGTAAACAGCCAACGTCATCTGTGGAACACTCTTCATCTCCTGCCTTTGCTCTGACTACTAGAGCACTTTGTGACAGAGCCACTGTGCTCTCATTCACAGTTATCAGTGAGACATACATTTATTTTATTTTTTTATTTTATGTTTTAAATTTTAATTTAGTTTTATTTTTAATTACACTTTATTTCTTTTGTATCCCCCCTCTAGTTCCCTCCCTCCTCCCCTCCCAATTTCTCCTTTTCTCCCCCTTCTCCACCCATGTCCCTCCCCAAGTCCACTGATAGGGGAGGGTTTCTTTTTCTTCCTTCTGATCCTAATCTGTTAGGTCTCATCAGGAGTGGTTACACTGTCTTCCTCTGTGGCCTGGTAAGGCTGCTCCCCCCTCAGGGGGAGGTGATCAAAGAGCAGGCCAATCAGTTCATGAGACATACATTTTAAAATTATTTTTTTATTCATAATACAAGTATCACTACATAGCCAATACAGATTAACAGTTCTTTTTACTTGAAGGAAAGAAAAAATTCAAAGATAATGCTGAGTTTTAAAAGGACTTCATCCTTCCCGAATAATTACAGTGGTCAGATGGAGCCTAGCCAGCTGCAGGAATCAGGACTTCTGACTTATGAGAGAAGACATTTGGTGTTGACCCTTGAAGTGGTCGTAATTCCAGATTTGGAGCGCAGACAGTAAATTACCGTGATAAACTATGTCATGAGTCACCCAGCTGGGGAGCTAACCCTTTCCCCAAATGCCCGGCTCAGGGTCCTTGAAATGATGTAATCAGCTCAACTTAACTTTTTAACACAAAATCATCTGAACTGAACAAGAGAGAAAAGAGGGAACATTGTCTCATTTATTTGGAACAAAGTTAAACTGTACATTTTTCTCTAAGAATTAAGGTGTCTATCTGCTTTCATAACACTGTTTTAAAGGTCAAAAACGGAAGCTAATTAAAAAAAAAAAAGGGAACTCTGCGGGTCCTTTCTGCCTCTCCGTTGTGCAATGTGTACTTTGAGAAGTCTCTGTATGTACATATTTCAGCATTCCTGGTCACAGCACTTTTTAAAAACATAAACATCAGCTTTATTACAAATACAAATTTTATATCCCATGTAATTCTCCTATTCAAAATATGCAGGTAAATGGCTTTTAGCCTGTTCACAGTGTTGGGCAACCATTGCCACCATCAACGTTAGATTTTTATCATTGTCTAAAATATCCTCACACACTGGCGGCTACCTTGCCTCTGTCTTCTCCGTACCAGGCAACCTCCCATCTCCTTTCTGTCTCTACAGACTTTTAGCATCACTTTTTGAAGGAAATGTTATTATTGCATTTGTGTGAAGATGCATACATATTTCTGTCTTTATGCCGATAAAATTTTGTAAATGAAAGCTTCACTGTGCATTTAATTGTTATCATTGTACTTTAAATATTTTAAGTGTAACAATATGGGCATATATGCAATCTGTACGTTGGAAACCTAAGAAATGTTTCCAAAAGACTAATTAAAATGCATTTGAGTGGCAAAATGTGTACTCTTTGTGATTATTTGTAGGGTGTATCTGAGGAAAGCTAAACTTCAGACAATTTTGACAAAACTATTAAAGTTGGCATTAATGTTTTAAATCTACATTTGTGGAGATTTGTTTTGAAAATGGAAAACACGATAAAGGAAGAAAGGTCTAACCCTCACTATCCACATGTTTCCACATCTGCTACAACTGGTTACTGCACACCCTGGTTTTATGCCAACTGGATACACGAACTAGATTTATCTGAAAAGAGGGAAATTCAACTGAGGAATGTCTCCATAGGATCCAGATTTGGGGAATTTTAAAATTAGTGATTGATAGGGGAGGGCATATTCCATTGTGGGTGGTGCTATCCCTTTGCTGCTGGTCTATGGTTCCATAGGAAAGCAGAATGAGCAAGCCAGTAAGCAGCACCCCTCCATGGCCTCGGCATCAGCTCCTGCTTCAAGGTTCCTGCCCTCTTTGAGTTCCTACTCTGAATTCCTTCAGTGATGGATTACAGTGTGGAAGTGGAAGCCCAATAAACCCTTTCCTCCCCTAGCCTGCTTTTTGGTCATGGAGATGTGCTGCAGCAGAAACTCTGACTGACACAGTGGCCCACACAGTCATTCAATTACCCAGCCTCCATGGTCTATTGCAACTACTTTCACTATTTCTGTTAAGTTTCTCAGTCTCAACAAATATGTTGGCATTTAAATATTTTAGAGCATTGTAACTTCTCATTTAGCAGGAATTGTATGGTAAATTAGCTTTTCAAAAGAGATTATTTCACTAAATAACACGTGATTCAGTTTACTCTATCTCTTGTTTTTTTTTTTAGTTTGTTTTTTCTTTTTGCATTAACATTTTTGCTTAAATTATAAGTTTATTTATCCATCACAGAATTGAATAAACTTGAAGTAATTGATCAAACAGGTTTATTCCTATTCTCAAGACTTCTATATGACCAGTACAGTCTTGGTTAGGCAATGAAAAAAAAAATCTCTCTTCATATTTTAGCTTTCTGAAAGCAGGCATAGTGTTTCAGTCTTTTTTCATAGAGGCCATTTTTGTAGTCTAACCTTTCACCTTTCTCTCTTTCTCTAAATATAGCTGGAGGGATTTTCCGTGACTTATTTCCTTGTATTTCTTAGACTTCCCTAAGGTCCTTTAAGACATTTGCGTTAGCCATCATTGAACACAGAGATGGTACATGACGACAGAGTGATGAGGCTGCTTCCTTGACCAGGGACCCTCAGCTGGACGATTAGAGTCCAGCATGTCAGCAGCCTCTGATGAAGAGGCTCAAATCCTATGTTCCATTAACAATGATATTTCTGTCTCCCAATAAATATTGTTATTAACAGTTGAAAGTGAAAATGAAGGCCAGGTAGAATAAAGGCTGTTTCTTTTGCCTCAAGTGGTTGCATTCAGCTCTTAGCTCTGAATATTGTGTGAGTGGTACCAGTTTTCTGGTTCTCACTTGCCCTGATTTTATGATTTTGAATATCTTACAAGAAGACGGTAGCAACTGCATCCCCACACTATGCATATTCATACATCCCTAAACAACTATATTAATATACATATGTATTCTAATAGACAACAAAGACCCCTCCAAAATAAAAGCATTGTAATTACAGTGCATTAATTCGATCAGGGACACATAATTTGTACTTCCAGGGTATTTTACAAAGGTAATGTCATCATGTACACATATGTGTTTATATGCATATACTTAACG